TCATGATATATATCTTTTGCGTATAATTAGGAATAAAAAATGTAATCCCAAAAAGATGTTTAATAATTTAAATCCTGAGGATTTGATTAAAAGCATTCGAGGATTGCAGATGACAGGGAAAGAACAGTGACTCCATTATAACCAAGGGAAAAATTCAAAGATTTAAGCACTTTTTTTATTTTTCAAACCAAGCACTATAATCTTAAAAACAAAGATTTTAAACAGGAACAGATAGATACATTTCCCCAGATATATTCCTGCCATTTAATTTATGGTATAGGACTGAGGTTTTTGCAAAAAGGCCAGATGTTTCGTTCGAAAAGTTTGTCTACAAATATTTCTCACAATGTTTCCCTCCAAAATCTCATTAGCAGAAATTAATGTACTCTGACAGAAACAGGGCATTTATCTTAGCACTCAGGCAGCATCACCTCCCAGCGATCGTGTGTTTGCAGGCCACTACATAAAGCCTTTGCAGGAAGAATCGAACAATCTCAACATAAAAAAATATAGATGGAAGAGAAAAAGCCAAAGTCATGTTCTCAGATGTAATTTACAAATACAAGAGATATTTATACTATCTTGTTAGAGTCTGTGTCACCAGTTGACATCTTTTCATGATGCAGAGGACGCTATGGATTATCACTAGCAAGTAAAAAATTAAAAACAGTAACTTTACATATTAAAGCAAATATCAAAGAATAGGTTACATGTCGTCATGGGACTGGGAATAGGGAGGCCTCTCCCACTTAAAAATACCCCATGTGTTTGCTTCCAGGGAAAATATACCTGCAGCTTCTCAACAGCTTCGTAGCAACAGACGAGCATCCTACAACGCACAAAGCTGCACATGTAGCACTGCAGCAACTGCAGCTATCGACTCCCCAGCAGAACATGACATGTCTGTGTGGGACAAGAAAACCAATTCATCAATAAGAGTCATCAGAAACGGGGTGTGGAACATGCTAAGTAAAAAAAAAAAAATATATATATATATATTCTTAACGTCTCCACTCTTTTGTCTGCTGCACAGGCTACAGCTGTGCAATTTTTTCTTTTTTGAGCTTTACAAAGCAGATTACAAATTCTCTACTTAATATTTCTTAATAGTCTTTGATTTACAGGGCCTGAATTATATATTTTTTCTGCCTAGATAATACTACGTAGAAACATGATAGCACATATTATTATATTTAAAAGCACCACCTCTAAAAATGCTTGCACTTTCATCCTGTTACATCTATCCTTCACTAAAGTAGTAAATAAAGTCAATCTTTGTATTCTGTTGGAATCTCATTATGCCACTTATTATTATGCAGTACTATATATCAACACAATAGTGTATGCTGTATCATGGTATAAGAAAAATTTGCATTTAAGAAGATTCATCTGAGGATCTTAACTCTCCTTTAACAATTTGGTCTCATTTACCTTTACACGGAAGCACTGTTTGTTCGATGGACAAAAATATTACATCACAGGAATAAAAAAGATTAACTCACATAACTCCCTACAGCAAGTCTACAGCAGAGGCAAAAAATTAAACCAATTATGTGAGCTAGGAATCAAGAAATCCGTTCAAGTCCTGCCTTTGCTCTATGACAAGGAAATTCGCTTCCTTATTCCATGCCTTTGTTGACATCTGTGGAATGAGAATATTTCTTCTCTCTCAACCTTTGGCTGTCTTGTCTATTTAGGGAACAAATTCTCAAGCCATAACCATTTCTTACAATGCATCTGTGCAGCACTAAGAATAAGGCAATTGTTGTCTTTGTTGCATTGTTGTCGCTGCAAAACAGTGGAGATTTGCAGCAAACACAAGCAGGGAAAAGCAACCCTTGCCTAGTTTAATTTAATTATTAGGAACTCTTTGGCACAAGTGAATAAATTTATTGCTTTGTTTTTACTTGATGCTACCTTGGCTCTGTTTTTACCAAAGGAGAATATAGTGGGTCTCTGTAAGTGCAGAATTGATTAAAATACACAACTACATGCCACACTGGTACAAGAGTTGTTTAGTGCCAGCCGACAGTGAAGCTAGCTGCAAGCTTAAACCATAGTTATTGTAAGACTGGTGTAAACAAAGTATTTATATAGCCAATAAGAATCAGCTACTCTGCTTTATTAACCTTACAAAAAATCAGAAATGCCTACAAAATTAGTACATACATTGAATTTAAGTATTGTGGTCTTATTTAACAGGACAGTTCTGCAGAGCTTTCTCCCAGGTGGAGCTCCCCAGTACCCACCAGCTCTGGTGCACCAGGTCACACTGACAGGGTAAGCACAGACAGATTCAAAGCTGAAATGAGTTTGCCTGTTAATGGTGGTGTGGGCCATGGAGGAAAATAAAAGCCTAGGAATTTAAAATTTTTAAATAAATAGGAATCCCTGCCTCAGTTACAAAGAATACTAGTTTGCTCTAACAGGAGCAATGCCAGGTGAATGCACGATCAGAGACAAATTTAGCAGTGTAACAACCACAAGTGCCATCAGTACTAGCTGATCTTTCCTGCCCAAAGATGGAACCAGTTAAAGCCACACCATTCCTGGCAGATGCTTGTCTAACCTGTGCTTGAGAAATTCCACAGATGGAGACACTACAGCTTCTCCAGGCAATTTATTCCTGGGCTTAACCATTCTTACACTTAGAAAGTTTTTCCTAATGTCTACACTAATCTCTGCTGTAATTTAAGCTCATTATGCCTCCTCCCAGTCCCAGTGGACATGGAGAACAGTTTATTCCCTTCCACTTTGCAGGTAATCACAGGAGACTGAAGACCTATTACATCCCCCGTGTTGCTATCATGCGTTAGCACATTCATATCTTTTCATGCTATAAGAAAATGTATGATATAGTCAAGAAGTGCCACACATATAGCCTTATGAAATAAGACATATTTCACAGGAAGTGCCTTTAGCATGCCAGTCATAAGAATATCTAGGCGGGTCCTATATTTGACTTTTCATTTCTAAATACTAGGTATCTAAATGTATTACAAAGTATCAGTTAAATACTATTTTGAACAAAGAAGCCTGACACGTTTCAGAGCAAATGTCAGGTTGCTGGAGGACTAGAAGTTATATCAGTTGCATATTGACTAAAAAATTACTAGCCTTGTGGTTATGATTATACTAAACAACATAAAAGCAGCTAATGGTGTAATCACCAGAACAGATGTCTGCTAGTCAAAAGAAATAGGTTCTGCTCCAGACCACTAATACCAATCACTGATGGTGGATGCGTCATTTAGGCCAACATTTGCAAGAGTATCCAATAGTAGAAACGCCCAGCTTTTGGGCATCTATCTTAACCGATGCACCAGCTGAATTACGGCTGAACTTGGTGACTACATGACTCCAACTACAGAAAATCCTTAATTTTCAAGGCAGTAAAACCTACTAGACACTTACAAAAGTGTGAGACAGTTAAGGAAGGTGGAGCTAGCAATACCTACGCAGCTTTGTAAATGTCATTCTCAAAGGCGTCACTTAAGCCTTTGTGTTTGGGGCTCAGAGTTCAGCTTTGAGCTCAGAGCAGGAACTGGTTTTGCTTGCGAAAACACCCACCTAAAGGACACTTTTTTTTAATATATATTTATTATAATAGCAGCAGCAGCACAAAACATCACGTCCGAGATGCAGCACAGCTCCAGACCTGTATGTGGTAACCATACATTGATTATCTTGAAGTACTGGCCAACAGAAAAAAGTACACTTACCAGCATGCTTTTGTAACATTCAGGGCACAGATGCCACTTGGCTTCTAATACCACAGTGTTATGAGGCTCTTGGGAGAGACAACCCGTGGTATTTTTTTCCTGAAAGCAGTCAACAGTGATTGATGACTCTATTAGAATGACGGCTATGACTCCATGTTTTCTGTATGGCCCTCAACACCATCCAAAAAGCAATGACTTAAGGAGCTTTTTTGATCTCAATTCCTCTGATCAAGAGTCAGTATATCCTCTTTGTTCGGCTGCTTGTTATATAGGTCAGAAAAGGCTTGTTTCGTGATTTCTCCAGCTTATGAACCTCTGCCTTGACCTGCATTTCTAGAAGAGAGCTAATAAAAGGAAGATTAATCTTGTAAAAGAAATAGCTGTATTCCATCCGCACATATCTGTACCTAACATAGGGACACAGCTGTAGCCCTGACCAGCTAACATTTCTCTTCTCGGTTATGCCTGGTTGTCTCACTATTTTCTACAGACTTTTGTTTGTTTCAAGCATTTACATAAAACACCAACACATCACAAGGAATTTTCCTACCATTTTTAAGCCAAAATGGAACTAGTAAGTCCATCCATTTCCTCCTATGTATCTTGGGCTAACTTTGCCCACTGAAGCATGCAGATATCAGTACATCAAACATTAACAGGTTTTTTCCCTGGATACTTACCAATGAAAAGTTGCACAGGTGGCATCGTTTCCAGGTTATGTTATGTGTCTTTGTTAACCAAACTATTTGGAATTCCCGCAATTCTTTCTTTGTTTTCCCCCTACGTTCTCCAGCTTATTTCACTTTGTTCCCCACAGTTCTACCCCTGTAACTCCCCACACTATCCTCTCTCCATTTCACATGTTCCTTTCTCCACATCATCACTAAGCCACCTTTTCATTCGGCACAGCCTATTTCTGCCTTCACACATTATTTATTTGGTCCCATCCTCACTTCAAGGTCTCTCTTCTCCACAAGCAGGATCATTGTTGTGCTTTCAGGTAACCACAATTTATTTGTGGGCTCAGTCCTGTGTTTTGTAATATCATACACTCTCAGCTGAGAAGAGATGGAGAAACAACAGATATTGCACGTTTGTTTTGCAGATACATATGTATTTATACCTGCACACACGCACATTGTGGCATAGGAACCTGGAACACTTGACTGTTTTCAACGCAAAGTCTGCTGTTTCAGCCTACAGTTATCCCCCAAACTAGGAATTTTGCTTACTACTTCTTCTCTAGTCATTCTTGCAGAAACCTTTGGTTCCCATGGTTAGGCCCCAGACTCTATGTATCAATGCATTCCTTAAACAAACAAAAATAAAAAAAACAAACACCAAGGTGTCATCACATCCTAAAGTGACAGCAAACCTTCAACCTTTGCCCATCATCACCAAGTCATGTACCCTCAATGCAAAAAAAAGCCAATTAAAATTGGAAGAAATAGGGATGGTACACATCTATCAGAATAGAGGCAGGATGCTACTGAGGGCATTATTCATATTTAATTCAGGAAGATTTTTTTTTTTCAAACCTATCAAAAACAGTTTATACTATCACAGAATCCATATCTAGCTCATGACAAACTATAAAATATTCCACATAACTCATTTACTATGCCCACCTAGTAACAGCTCAAGCTTGTTAGCTTTCTGCACACACAGAGCCCAGCTTCCTCTCCATCACCACCTTCTTTGCAACGATCGGTTACTATTTCTGTTGTCAGCAAGTTTGTTCTCTTAAAGGTAATAAAGTACTCCCACTGGCTATGCAGGCACTGATAACTCAGAAGAGAAAAAGTTGGAAGTAAAGTATGAATCCAATCACCACTCCAAAATACCCACACCTTAATCATCTTTGATAAGCCTCAGTTTTGTTCTGTCCCTCCTTACTGTTCACTACAAAGTGAATACTTAATGCTTAAGTACTTCCCAAACACCTGATACAAGCTACTATTAAGAGAGCAGTCTGACAGTCTGTTCTGCAGAGTTGGACGAGATAGCTTTTATTGGTGGTACTAATCAGAAAGCATTTAACTTTATTTCCACAATAATAACAGGAATGTGCAATATTGAATATATTCTTTTTAGCAGAAGATGGATTTGCAGGTTAGGTTCTTGATCAGATCTACATTCCTGCTTAGAAAAAACAAACACACAGCATTTAAGTTGTTTTTTCTAATACTACTATCCTAAGAAATTTTTAATTTGTCCAAGTTCAAGCATCTCCTCACACCCACCCCCTGCTCTAAAGAGGCTGATACAAAATTTGATTACAGATTAGACTTCTTACCAACTGACAATAAGGCAAGCAAGACATTCAGAGGAACAGCATATTTTCATGGGGTTTTGTGGCCAGAATGACATCTCCATTGTGGGGAGATTCCTCTTTTCTACAGTTCCACTTGTGTTACTCCATAAACCCTGGGCTACCAGGTCAGATCTGCAGACCTGGAACAGACCACTCAGCTGTAGGCTGAAACTCTACATTTGCTCCCCTCTACCCTCAATTCTTCCCAAGCATCATTAATTTTAAGCTTTTATGCAGTATTTGAAAGAAACCCAAGTACCATGTGTTCAAGTTCTTTCCTCCAGAAACAGTTAATGATTCTCCAATTAACATTCAAGTCAGAGATAAACAAGCCCACCTAATACAACTTTAGGCTTTTGTAGCCCTGTGAAAACATTGCCTGGAGAGCCAACATCCCCAGGTAATGAAGGAATTCCCAGTTCATCTCACTGGAAAAAGACAAAAGGATCAGAAATTTTCCGTCAGGAAGATCTAGAACTCAAGAATTCTTGCAACTTAAAGGTTTGGTCTTAACGTTTGTTTCACAAACAGTAAAGGTTGTTACACAAAGTATTTATTTTCAAAATACCTATGGATATTTATTGAACAATTATGAGACCACTGAAAGTTTTCATAATTATATACTACAAAATGTGCTAAGTTTTTATAAAGGTATATGCAAAGTTGCCTACAGGACTGAACTAATTTAGCTACAGACAGCAGATAAAGAAAACAGTTTCACTAATATTATAAGCAGGCAAGTAATGACAGATTAAGATGTACTACAATACACAAACAAGTATTTCTTAGTTAAAAACAACATCAGTACAAAGTTTGTTCTTCTCACTTCTACTGTTTTAGTTTAGACTTGTTAGGAGCAGGTGGGCACCTCTTGCAGAGAAGAAGTATCACCAGAAGTCTAAGTAGACCTGAAATAAATAAACTGTATTTCAGCAAGCAACATTTAGAGTAATCATAAGCAGGTAAAACATTCGACATTCTATAAAAGCAGAAACGTGTAGAAAGACCACTTTCACTTGTATCATGATACAATACATAATTTAGTGATCAAAAAGCTGATCTCGCCAAGTTTTCTTTATATAATACAGCACCATCTTGATGAATTTAAAAACACATCATGCAGAAATGCTAAGTGATTCAAATTAATATGCAAAAAGATCACTATGAAACAACTATTAGTCTTCTGACCTAAGTAGCTTACTTCTAGAATAAACCAGAGATGACTCACACTACTGTAACATTAAAATACACACATCATTCTTAGTGCCCTAAGGTTGGCACAAGCAACTTGTAAATGTCAGAAAAGCATATAAACCTTGTTAATGTTTTCAGAAATTCATTTAAAGATAGAAACAGGTCCAAAAAGATGCCTGTCTAAATGCATTGCAATTACGTTACAATTATTTTCCAAATACACAGATATGCTCTGTCTTTTCTCAGCTCATTACTGACTCAAACAATTTGCTCTTCTGGGATCAATTGTTTGCTAATAAATAATTGTTTACAGTCACAAAATGATATTAAGCAGTATTCTTATTAGTTTTCCTTCTACAGCCTAATAAGATTCAAAACTAGCTGATTCCCAAGAGTCTAACCTTAACCTTGCTGTGTTTAACAGCCCAGGAAATGATGAACCATCTGTTTCAGAAAATAATGGAGGGCCAAGAGGAAATATTGTTTAATTGTAGATTAACCTCCTCATACGGCAGAATGAAGCATCTACAGAATTAGCAACCATAACTAGCAATGAACAAAAATAGCTTAAAGCAACTTTTACTATTACAAGACCAACAGCAGCAAGTATTCTTTTATCACCTTTTTTTAAGCCCTCCCAAATGTATGTAACAAGTACAACCTAATTTTAAAAATAAATTTGAATCACTATCTTTGGATTTATTTTTTTTTAATTGAGGAAGCCCCAGAAATAAATACTGAAATAGTTCTGGTTTTATTTTTCCATGAGTATCAAAATTATTTTAAAACGAACATCTGCAAGTGAGAGATAGTGTATTTACTCTTCTGTAACTTCCACCTCACATCTCCACAGCGATAAAATGGCTGCTCCAAAGCAATATACAAGTCACTTAAGGAGGGAGGAGGGGGGAAGGTCTTGAGGTTTTAAACTCAAGAACTTTGATCACTTATGTGTGTCTATTTACGTAGCTACTTAGATAATAAATAATGGAGACAACCAGATAAAGTGTAAGACAGTTTGAGTACTGGAAGAAAAAAAAAAATAGCAATGACAAACCACAAGAATTTGAAAATAAAAACAACTGCTTCTGTGCTAGCATAATAAAGAGTAGTGCAGTTCTCCACTGTGACAGCAATTTTTCTATGTAACATTCATGCCAAAGCAAGCTTAACAGAAATCTTTTACCTCCATCAATCAGTTTGCCCCATTTTGACAGCAACAATGATAGAAAAGCATGTCAGACGGCTGCAGCGAACTCCAATACATGCTAACTGTGAAAGCTTTTCCTTGATTTTACACAACCTTCCTGGAACAGTATCTAGATTCACTTCTGACTGTGACAGCTGGGTGCATACTCAGTGCGTAAAGATTTCATTAATTAAAAGTTTTAAATATCCAAACACAGTAACATTTACTCAAATTATTCTTGAATTCTTCACTTAATTCTTGAAGCAATGAGGTAGCAGTAACTCCACCGCTTCATATAATAGCACCCATTCAAAAAGGATAAGAGTTTGACATCCTTCTCCTACTAAACAACTAGGCACAATTTTATCCATCAGACGTCTATCAACCTACGGATATTGAAAGCTTGGGCGAACAAGATAAAATCAAAACCAACCCTACTGTCAAGCTGCGCTATCTACTTGCATCAATAATGCTATTCATGAATTTAGGAAAATTAATAAATCTTGGGATGAATGCTCAGAAAGTCTCAAATACAGGTGAAGCATACTCACTTCGGTTTTGTTTCTGCATCTGTCACTTGGCGAATATAGATACCATCTTCAGGATGTTCAATGTCATCCATTTCATACATATATGAAGAAGCTATTGCAAGGGTAGTTCCATCATTGCTGAAGGCAAGTGATGCTATGCTTGTGGGATACCGATGGAACTGACACAGCCGCTTTTTATTAAATGGATCCCAAATATTTACAAATCCATCAGAACCTCCTGAAAATTAATTTTTAATAACAGTTTGTAAATTATAATTGGGAGAACAGTAAGACTGAAAAGATACAGCAAAGGGGAAAAAAAAAAAGGAAGAGAGAAAGTTACCTGGAATTACTTCGTCAGTAAAAACACAGGGTTATAGAGTTGCATAATTCAGTAAAGAGCACATTGAGTATTTCCCAAAATCCCTGTTAAAGCAATTAACGCTCACTGCATCAAATAATTTAAAAACCCTGCTCATTGCAAGAAATACGATTTAAATGCTTAAAAAGTAAGGGCACATGAAGTAAAAGCTGACCTGTTTAAATCAAGAGTAAAGGAATTGATGCAAGTGTTGCAAAAGATTGAGTATCTACTCTACCTGTAGCAAACGTGTTGTGGACATTGTGGAAAGAAATAGCATTAACTGGATAAATCTGCTCAATGTTGTTTTCCTTCAAACGGTGACATTTGAATGCGTATTTCTTCTTCTGGATTTCTGGACTTGGATCCAAATATTCCACTGCAACACGACCTTCAATAGAACTTAAAACATAACCCTGCCAAAAAAAATTTGGAGATACACATTTTAGAAGTTTACAACTGGAAAAGAGATTGCAATACAATTTATCTTATATCCCTCTAAATTCAAATAAATGAATTGTAAACAGTCTTAAATTGTGTACAACCAGAAATTGTTTGTTACCACAGATCCATGGCATCATCAGTAAAATCTGCTTCTAAGAAAGAAGTAATGAGAATATCTCGGAAAGCTTTTTTCTGCATTGCACCATAGTTTTAAGCTGAAAGTGAGACTTTTAATTACCCCCGCAGGTCCAAACACAAGTTGATTTGGGGAAAAAAAGTGTTAAAAGTGTTAAGAACCCCTTGTATTCACCCACCTATCCCCCAGGGCCTAAATATCTGAAATATTAGAGATACTCACGGGACTATTTAGTTTCAGAATTACATTAAAATTAGTTCAGAGCTTTATACTACCAACTAAACACTCAAGTTGAAGTAGTCTTTTCAGTGAAACTTGATTATAAGTGGCGTCCACTTATCCAGTTAATTACAGTCCTGACTTAGAGCAACCCGAGATGCTTTCATTATAACTTCTGAGTTGAGCCCATAATAGATCTCCAGAAGTGGGACTGTAACGATATCTAGCTACAGCAAGGTTCTTTAAAATCCTTGACACAATACAATCTGGAAGATCAGCTTGTTTTACTATAACTAGAACTTAAAACAGACAAAGCATTCATGCCAGTTCAAGACCAAGTAACTAGGTCTCGCAATTCCTGTACTATCACTACGTACACAGAAAAATTCCCTTCCAGATTAGTTTGTCAGAAAAAGCTAATCATCTTGCTTTACTTCAGAAAGAGAAATACCACAAATACGCTACGTTAACCTACACGGAACAGCTGTATGATCACCTAAATTGTGCAGTTCCCCCTAGATAATGGATCGTGGGTTCTTGAGTGCGTGACACAGACTCAAGACTTAAAAAAAAAGACAGAAAAATATACAAACGACATCCATACAGTTTTAATCCTGCCCCTATAGTTCACAGCCTATTGAAGAACCTAGGGCTACAATGCATAAATGCTGCTGAGCAACCACCAATTCTGTCTTCCTCTCTTCTACTGCAACTTTGTGGGGTCCCTTTTTTGGGTTTTTTTTAATTACATGCCAGCATTGTGATGCATTAAACAAGCTATTTTTAAAAAAGGAGACAAAATTGCCAAAAAAATGAAAACATAATACACTGCTAAGTCAGTGACAAACATTCCTAAGCTGCACTATTAAAAAGAGTTAACCTGCAACAAGAAGCCTCAACACCATTTTTTTCCCCCTCCCAGAGTTTGATTATGAAACTTTGAAGACCAGAAATTTTTTAAAATGAAATATGCAGAAAATTTGAAAAATAAACCACCATTATTCCTAAAGAATACTCAGCAGAAAAGTAATTACTGATATGGTTCCCATACCTGTTTATTCGGAAACGCTCTGATACAGCGGGTTTGGTACTTCAGACTTGACTCTCTTCGCTGCTGAACATAACCCATGTTCCGCAAATCCCACACCAGCACTCTCCGACCTGCCGTCCCCACAATCAGTCTATCTCCAGACACAGAAAGCGTGTAGACCTTTTAAAAAAAAAGAAAATTACAATAGTTAACACTTATTAGCCTGGATATCCATTGTTCTTTGTACAAAATAAAATGTCAGCAATATGCAATAACAGAACAGGTGACATCTACAATAAAGTCTATAGCTATAGAATTCCCTTTAGCTTTCATTTATAACTCAAATTTGGGATAAACAGCAGTGGTGTGCAGCTGGTTAGTGATAAGACACTGATGTAGCATTTTAAAAGCTCACCCTTAATTTTGTACCCTAGCACACAGCTGAAAAAGTCAAGCCCACTGCAGTCTCATACTACATATAACTAATTTAGTAAAAAAAACCCCAAATTTAATATGCATTTGCTCTTGTGCAATTCTACATTTCAAGCACATTTGTTCAGTTACCAGTCTCCAGATCTCAGCGATATCCAAATAATCTTCCACACGTGAGATTTCTTCCTTTTGCTGGTGTTACCAATGTTCTAAATGCTACACATGTACAGAAGTATTTCTGTATCATTCAAAAGGGAAATCAGTATTATTCGAGTTTTCCTCAAAAATTATTTCAAGCATTAAACTTATTGGGTATTTCAAAGCAAGAGGCAAACAGATACAAAGTTACAGGGTGGGAAAAAGGGCATGGACATTGGAATTCATCTTTGCTTGGTATGCACAGCTTGCATTCCCCCACTATCAATTCATGATCCTGCAGTTTAGTTTTACAATACCACATAACACGTTTTTCTTCTCAGTTTTCCTCCATCTGCTAATCACGTGTTTTTCTTTTTAAACAGAATACTTCAAGTTGACGTTCATGTTAATAAAGGGAAACAAGTTGCCAAGAAATAATTTAAAAAAAAACCACAGTACTTCGTATACTTTAATAAAACTAAGTGAAATTGAAGGAAGCAATATGCTTGACATCATTAAAAAAGACTACAGCTTGGAATTTCAACTCTACTCCAAAAATTGGCTCAGAGGTTCTAATTTTCGTTTATCAAATTTCTCATGAAAACATTCAACATATAAATCGTTCTGTTTCCAGCTATTACTTGGGATGCAGTTAATCTGGAAATAGGTTAAGAAAAAGGTTCAGTCAAAAACTCTGTGCTAGCAAATGAATTGCAAGCTGTTGATACACAAGCAAGACAGAATCCAGCTACCTATAGCTGTCCTGTCACTGAGCTGCTAACAAGAGCTAACTATAGGAATGAGCTTTTTCAAAAGTGATCTAATGCAGCTAAATACATAGGAATCAGATATTGTCTACACCTCAGATCAAGAATTGAAAGCGTAAGAGATCTGGTATCCTGCCAGAAGGCTTCAATTTACTTTTGGCATGTCCTTGTAGAATTTCATTCAAGCACCCAGTTTCACTTTCTGGTTCTCTGATAAAGCCCAATAACATTACCTGGTTCTGGTAAGACTGCACTGAAATATCAGACAAAACAACTTTTCTCTCCATTTGCTATAAACATTTCCAGAGAAACTATGTTTTCAAAAAGTTAATTTCTAATAAATAACTAAGCAGACAGATGTGTATGTGAGTTGGTGTATGTGTGTGTATACATATAAAAAACTTCCTTTAACCAATCCACATTCATTCAGCATGCATTCTTGTTCTAAAATGTGATTATTGAACCTCCCTCTTAAGACTGAGGTCTTAAGATGTGGAATGTCTTAAATGTTCACACAGGAGTTGCCTGAAACCCCTGATGATCCCAATTGCCAAATCTGACTTGCGTATAAAAAGGGCAAGAAAACTTTGAACCAACAGTAGTCACACACTTTAACAAGACAGTTTTTCAAATCTCCCTTCGTTATTGATGTAAAAATTGATCCAAAAATATTAATAAACATTTTATATGTATTTGTATACATGTATGGAAACAAAGGCATGAAGAACATTAAATATCTTAAATCTTCTTTACAAACTGATGTCACACCTGTATAGTAAGTATTCTTTCTACACCACACAATCATAAATCAAATGAAACCATTGTCATGCAGTTGAGTAGGTATACACATTTATCAAAGGCAGTATTAAAAAAAAATGACATAATGAACCTTGCTGAACCAATAAGCAGCTTGATTCACTGTGGCTGTCCATTATATGATATTCTGTCAGCAATTTATCACAGTTCTTTACATGCTACATACAACTATAAATCAAAACAAGAAATAATGCAATTACTTTATTCTGAGCAAAGGTCTTGCCAGAAGTAGATTCAGCTATGTTGTAACAAAATAGCTATTTAGATGCAATAGGGAATGTAATGATGGCTCATAATTATGACTTGACACAATACAATGTGACAGAGCTAAATGAAATTTAAAACAGGTATAGGCAAAAAAAAAATTCATGTGTAAAATTATCCAGCAACCCAGTCTGTGTTTAGAAGTCTATAAAAAAACAAAACAGAAATTACTACTCTAATTCTTTCAATGACACCATTGTAAGCAGTGTAAAGATTAACACGCCATATAACCATTAGAGAAAGCTTATGACATTATATTTTACCTTATTTCTCTTGGTCTCTCATTAGCACAGAGGATTTTCATATTAGGAGAATGTCTGAATTTACTAGGCATTAGTACAATGACAGGTAAATTACAGTACAAGCAATTCTGTTCAATCTTTTAATACAAGTGAAAAAACAAAATATTATTTCAGGCATCGTAAATGGCCTCTTACTCTATCTCTACACACATTTTGAAATAATCAGACCTTATGACTGCCGGGATCTGATATATCTAAAAGTCTTAACATTTAAGGAAAATGATAGTGCATATTACAATTAAGCCAAGGATTATTAACGATTGTGTGTGAATTTCACATGCTGTTTTCATTAGGTTTTCCTTCCTCAAGTTTGTTTTCAATTATAAGAATTTGGTCCACCACAAGCAATGAGAATTAAGTTATGCTCTCCTATTGATGAAAGCTCATAGCCTTAACCTAAAAATTGCAATATATTCTGAATATCAATATTTTTAAATGCAATATTTTCACAGCTTAAAAACCATTAAACGTAACTTTTCAAATTCAATTCCATTTATTATTTAACATATCACCTGGAATACAGCATGCAGTACGTACCTTTTCAGGTTGAGAGAAGGTTCCTGCATTACAAGGAGTTCTGGGATCCCACAGTTTAACTGTTTGATCCCAGCTTCCAGTCACCATGACATTCACTTCTGGGCAATACTCAACACACCTGATAGGAGCATCATGGGCACCAACAAGGTTTTCTGTAAGAAAATGCAATATATTGCAACTTTGCTGGCTTTACAAACAGTCAGAATGTGTTGAATAAAGAATAAAAAAAGGACACAGTACTGCGGTACGAACACATGATTTTCTGACATTCCCACAGGTGTATTGATATGCTAGCAGTCCCTTTAAGGATAGTTCAGTCTTCAGAAGCATAACTTTTGCAAAGATCAGGACTGTTAAATTTAAACTTATGTCTCCTAAGATTATGAAAGGAAGTTAAGAATTTTAGGCAGCCAGAGAGAAGACCTTCAGAGGTATAAAGAAGCGTTCAGTATGAAATGGTATCACCACCTTTGACACAGACACCAATACAGAGAGTGACTTAAGCTTGTATATATTAGCATTATGACAAAAGAAAGAAATTAATATTACATATTAATAAAAATATTAATATAAGCACTTCTAGAAGGTCATCTATAACAGAATTATTTGACCTTTTTCATTACATTACTGCATACACAAGTTTGTCGAGCCCTGGCTATTGGTTGGTTCTAGCGATGACATTTGTCTCAGGCTGAGATTCACTTTTCTCTTTAACACGCATACAAACACACACAAAAAAGTTAAGACAAACTAGCTCCATAGTTTGCACTAACGAAGCACTGGAACTGTTACTGTCAAGCAATGTTTTGTTAGAAAAAACTGTAGCATAAGGCCACGATGAGACAAAGCAAAAGCTTTATATACATTCTGCCATAGATGTGAAAGATCATTCTAAATACATCTAAACCACGAACCTTTGAAAAATAACATGCTCGGTTTGAGTTCAGCTTAGCTAATTCCCCCTAATTGAGACACAGAAGCCTATGGCAGAAGCAGGATTATCACCAGAAATCCAGTTCAAGGCATCCTACAACAAGCATCTACCAAACTTTCTGGAAAACCGTCAAACACTTCCATGCTTTTAGGTGGTACTTATTAGGGCCTCTAGTTATTCTGCTGGATAAAGGTACATATGATGTGAACCTTAAATCATCACTGTGACAAGTATATATATAGCTATTTCCTTTCCTTCCATTTTCACCTTCAAATAAGTAAAAAAAAAAAATACACATGTAAAATACGTCCATGAATATTCATCACAGGAAAAGTTTAAACTCTCAGTTTGGCAGCAACAGATTCGGCCCTTCTGTTAAAGGTGTTATAGCACATTCTTCAATTACACAGTAAGAAATACTGCCTTGTTCAGTGTCTTGGTGATGAGAAAGGGCTGCATAGCAAAGGAGAATGCTGAGCACTAACACCGACAACTTAAATCAATAAAGGCTACTACTTAAAGCAAATATCCCCCATCTACAAAACTTGAAACATATTCCACTCATGCATCTGAAGCTTAGAGCAGTTGTTGAGACCACTTACAGAATTCAATCTGCTTACCTTGGTCCGTGTTTAAATCGTGCATTTTCAATTGCTGATCTAACCCTCCACTCCAGGCATGGGTAGGATCCTATAAAGCAAAAAATTTCACCTTATGACATGCATTAAGTTTCCCTGGCTGCTCTACATTTAATCTCCTAGGCTCATAACACAGGACCTGCTTTCAAGAGTTTTGGGAAGATGGGAATTAAGACAAGGGTTAAGTTCCAGCCCAGATCTAAACAGGCAGATGACAGAAGCTTTGCAAAATGTTTAAGTAAAGCGCTTTGAGCTATATGATTTTTTTTTTTTATTTACAAGTAAAACTACAAAGAAACAAAAGCAGTTAGAGGCCGTATCAAATAATTTCTATTTCTGTAACAGCAAAATACATAACACTTATCTTTAAATGGCCATCAACCTAAGCCAGTTCCACCTAATTGAAGTTTATTCTTTCTAAAACTAACTTGGAAACTAGAAACCATTTGAGAGCCTCTGTGTTGCTCCACAGTACAATATTAGCTATGTGACAAAATGTTCAGTGAAAGAGGCACAAGCAGAATTAAAAATTTAAACTGATCCTTAAAACATCCTGTTACACATCAAGATCAAGTCACTGGAGGACATGCCAGAATACAGTGCAAAAAAAAAAAAGACGCTAGTTGAAACTTTCCATCAAAAAAAAAAAAAAGGCAAAACAAAAAAGTGGCACCAATAAATTTAAACCAGTCATATTTCAAATCCAGTGCATTAAAAATACAGAAATCAAGTGTCTGGTAAATGGCTCACTTGGAACAATGCCATGTTTCCAAAACAGCACAGTATGAGAAGGTTAAAAAGAAAAGAATAATTGGCTATGGGCATTTACTGTGAATAACGATTTCTGGCTATATACTACCAGTATGACTCTTTGAAAGAAACACGCACACAACTTACCATGCCTTAGCAGAAACAGCACAAACCAGCTCAAATTACTTTTGCCTATCACTTCTACCAGAAACAAGTTACTTGTGTGCCTGCACCCTTCACAGGAAATACCTATATTTAGGACTAGAACGACGTTCATTAAAAGAAGAATAATTGGCAAAAGCAAGCTATTTTTTTTAAACCTAGATTTCGGATAGGATTTCACTATCCCTTTAATTTCAGGGACTGACAATTTCTCATTTACCTTGGGCACTGTATGTCGATAAAATAATAATTTAAAAAAAAAAAACTTCACATACTTACGTAAAAAGCGCAGTCAAGGACAGCTCCTGAATGTTGGTATTTGAGTCTCATGGTGTTGGCAGGAACATCATAGAGCCGAACAGTTGTGTCCCAGGATGAAACAAGCAGAAACTGAGATGTATTTGGACTAAACTTTACTGATGAAATGCCATCGTCTGGAGTTTGATTTAGTTTGAACTCGTTTGATCCCGTCATCTGAAGACAAGACAATAACGCACAGATACCATTTTAGTAATAACAAGAACATAAGCCCAGCAAGTTAGTTAGCTGACTGATCCATCTTAAAGGTAACTTAAAGTAGACCTGAAAAGTTTACTAGGTTTTACACAGGAAAAATTTCAGAACACCCAGATTTCTGACAAACTCTCTAAAATTCAAGATGCTGATCACTGTCCAAGACCTCAATCAATTCCTCCCCCTATAGAGAGCTTTTAAATCTAAGCATCAAATATAACATGGAATAAACAGTAAAAAAGTTTATTTTTATTATTATTATCATCTATAAGCTTAGATATTGTTACTTACAAATTTATTTTTCCCCCACTCTACTGTGTATGTATGTGGCTGTATTTTTCAAAGTAAGTATTTATGAATTACTGTGAGCATCAGGAAGTTACTTTAAAAAACACAAGCAGGCAGAAGGGAATCTGATTTTGAAAAGTCCAACAAAAAGTACTGATTTGTTCCTGATTTGATATGACTGTCATATACTTCCAAGAATTGCAACTGGATCATCTTTTAAATAGTTCTGGGCTCTCTGCAACTTTCCAATCCTTAAGCTTCCAAAAGTGCTACAAAATATTTCCAATGAAACAGCTTTAAGATTATTTTTTCCTCTTAGAGTCTAAAGAAGGTCAGATCAGAAAAGAAAGTTATGCTTTGTGGGCTACTGAAATGTAGAGCAAACATATAAATGTGATGCGATAGGAAAAAAAAACACAATTCAATGACAGATCGATGACTCTGAAGGTAACTGCAGCACTCACTTCATAGGACTAGTTGTATGTACAAAAATTCAAAGGAGAGCAGGGGCTATCAACAGCAAATTTCAACTGGGAAAACAGTGCAGAACTTACAAACACTCTGAAAGAAGAAACCGTTCATTATATGCACACCAACAAAATCACCAAAACTTTTTTTAAGGCTTCAGAAAGCCTTAACATCACGTTTCCCTTATGCTGAAAGGACAGAGAAGTAAATTAGCTCAGATTCTCTATAACACTATCACTCCTGAATTTGTACATACAACTGCAGAGGTAAGATTAGACCTCTGAGAATAAATCACGAGAGAATGAGCATATGAACTAGGACAAAGTTCAAATTTAGCGCACAATTATTCTAGTTCAGGACTTGCAAGTAACTGAACAATCATCAACTTGTATAATAATGTGAGCACTACACATTCTTACACTGGAAAAATTTCCTAAGTGGGAGCTTTGGTAGGTGTTCTGTAAGACATCCTTCAACAAAACAAAAAACAAACACACCAACAACACACAAAATGTTATTTCTGTTATTTCAACATGAAGTGAGAAAAAAAACTTTTAAGAATAGGAAATAAAAAACTTCTTAACCCCTTTTTTCAGCTCTGCTTTGGGAATATTCGGGCAAAAGAGAGACAGGCTTGAGAATTTGCCACACGTATTTCTATATGAATACTATAGAGAATTTGACAGCACCTTCATCACACTTTCAACAGTGAAGTGTACCTCAGTGAACGTTTCAGATGGATGAACAAAGACACAAAATCTAAAGGAATTCAGAACAACTAGGAGAATTAGACTGGACATGCTAATTGCCTTGTCTACTTGCAGCAGAAGACTCAACAAGCATGAGGATTTGAGGCACCTGGTACAACAGTTACCAACCAGCCCAAAAGCAATCAGCAAGCAGCACTCCAGGAAGCAAAGTTACCTACATCAGAAACCTGGAGGGATTGCAGAATTTAAATATATCCTGCCTTTTACATATGTTACCAAAAAAAAAAAAATTTTTTTTGAAAGTCACACAAAGAGCTCTGCACATTTTCACAAATGCAACTGCTTCACAACTGGGATTGCCAGACAACAGTAACTGCCACGCCCACCTGAAACAACAAAGTCCTGGTAAAATGTTCAAGCACCACAAGAGAGAACTCATAAAGACGACGTTATAGTGAAGATGCACACTGCAGAAACTGCGATGCTGACTAAACGACAGGGTGCACTTTTGCAATCCCATCATTCCAAAAGCTCATTTTTACTGAGCAGATAAGAGACCAGCGCTTTTATAGCTCCTCTTAACACAGCGCACTCTTTCATTTAGCTGCACGGTAAGCGTTACTCTAACAAAGCAGGCCGCTTTGTTGAAAGCGACAGGACGGCCAGCCTGCACCTTCATTAAGAAGACACTGAAAGTACCGTTTTCATATTGCACGAGTTCCTCTCGCTGCTTCACGCAACGCCACGGAAAAGCTCTTTCTTCCTGCAGCTGCAGCAGCGGATCACGGAAGCGCTGAGGCGTCACGGCCGCTCTCGCAGCTCGGTCCCGGGGAAACACGCGTCGGGATGCGGGAGATGCTGCCGGCTGCGGCGGGAAGGGAAGAGAGTGAGAGAAGGGCCCGAGAACCGAGCGAGGGCCGAGGCTAGCGACGGAGAGGCTGCGGCCTCGCCGGGGAACGGACCACGGAGAGCCGGGGCGCCCCGGGAAGGGCGGG